TGCGCCCATTGCGACGTCTGATGCGTCGGTGGTGAGGGCGAGATCGGCTCCTTCGCGTGGGTGTGCGAGTAAAGTGGCGTTGGCCCAGAAGTTGCTTGCATTTATTAAACGCTTCTACCGTTTCGGGCGTCCATGGCACGGGACATTTATCCTTGCGTTTGGCGCCGCGAATATATTCATGCAGCGATGCTAGTATATGTGGGCTGTACCTTTACAGAAACGTCGGTAGAAATTCAAGATACCAAAAAAACGACGAAGTTCAGATATTTTTGGTGGTTGGATATAATTTTGGATGATCTCTACGCGCTCAGGTAGTGGGCGTGATCCATTTTCGTCGATGAGATATCCTAAGAAGGTAACGGAGGATTTTCCGAAATGGCACTTGGCGGGGTTGATCGTAACGCCGTATTGCCGCAGTCTATCGAACAGGATGCGGAGGTGTTTGCGGTGTTTTTCGTGATTTCTCGACGCGATGAGAATATCATCGAGGTAGGCAAAACAAAAGTCTAACCCGCGTAAAACTTCATCTATGAAGCGTTGAAACGACTGTCCGGCGTTCTTGAGGCCGAAAGTCATCACCAAAAATTCGAACAACCCGAAAGGAGTTATGATCGCGGTCTTAGGTTGGTCTTCCGGCGCTATAGGAATCTGGTAGTACGCGCGTATTAAGTCTATTGTAGAGAAGACTGTGCAACCATTCAATCGATGTGAGAAATCGGCAATATGAGCTATCGGGTACCTGTCGACCTCGGTGACGCGGTTGAGGCCGCGATAGTCGCCGCATTCTCTCCAATCACCGGACTTCTTAGGTACAAGGTGAAGCGGCGCTGCCCACGGGCTGCTGGAACGTCGGCAAATTTTTGCCGTAAGCATGTTCTCGAACTCAGCCTTGGCAATCCGGTACTTTTCGGGTGTGAGTCTGCGCATGGGCTCTGTTACCGCGGCGGTCCTTTGGTGATGATATGGTGTTTCACTCCGGTTCTTATGACCTTGTTGGTTTTATTAGGCGTAGCGATTTCCTGAAACTCTCGTAACAAATCATTAATGTGATTGTCGCCATGGACTATACATACGCCTGAAGCTTTGCTACGAATAAGTTGACACGGGCGTTGTAATCCCGTCACTCCGTCGACGATGCGTTTTTTGCTAAGGTTGACTAGCAAACCGTAATGCTTGAGAAAGTCGGCTCCGATGATCGGTTGGCTTACGTCAGCAACGAGGAAAACCCATTCAAAATCTCGGGGTAACCCTAGGGATAAGTAAACCTTCCGTCTTCCGTACGTGGAGATGACTGTGCCGTTCGCTGCAAAAAATTGAAGTTCCGATGGTTTTTGCCCGCGTGTTCTCCAAGACCGGGGAAGGACTGAGATGTCGGCCCCTGTATCGATAAGAAACCTGGCGCCGGTTTCCCTATCCTGGACGATCAGGCGGTTCCCGCTGTAAGGACCATCGCACGCCGCCTCCTGCGATGGCCCACTCAGTTTTCCGCTTTGTCGGCGGCTTTGATGGCGAGTGGCTTGACCCATGCACACGGTTCCGAGCAGTTTCTAGCATTCTTTCCGAACTTGGTGTGGTAAAAACAGTATTTGGGTGGCTGCGACTTATCTCGGGTACGCCCACGAGATTTGCTACGTTCGCGTCGTTTCGGACGAGCTCGTCACCTTTCGCCTTTGTCTGCGACGAAACGCTGTAACTGCCGTGTGAGTTCGCTGATCGACGACATCAACGTGGGCTCCGTACCCGACGTCGAGGGGTTGGCGGCTGCAACAGCTGCAACGGCTGCGACGGCAGGAACGGTCTTCTCTAAAGCCTTGTCGGCCAGCTCGGCCATCTTATCGAGAGCTACTCCCTTGACTACTGAAAGTAGCTCTTCCACACGTGAAGGCATGCGCTGCAACCAAAGGGTCTGCAATAATTGTTCGTCAACCGAATTATTCGTGAGTCGTCGCATCTCGCGAAGAAGGTGGGTCGGCTTCTGGTCGTATAATTCGACATCGGTGAGCAGTTTCCTCCAACGTTTCTCGTCCGAGTCAGTGAACCGGGAAATAAGCGTATCTTTGAGCTTCTGGTACTTATCCGAGGCTGGCGGCGATTCGATAATATCCGCGATTTCAAGCATGGACTCTTTATCCAGGTTATCTACGACTACGCAGAACTTGAGGTCGTCGGATCTAACATTATGCGCGCGGAACTTGACTTCAAGTTGCGTGAACCAGGTTTTCGCGTGATCGCGCCAAAACGTGCACGTCTTTAGCGTTTTTGCGCACTGCGAACTCATAGAGTGCGGGACGGTACTGCTCGAGTGCACCGCTAGTGCAAGTTTCTTGCATGCCCACTGAAACACTTGCGGCTTGGTGAGTGCATAACATGAGTGCGCATTTTTTCGGCTCCTTAACCTGTTTAACCTGCCTCGACGAAATATAAAAGTTTACTTTCGAAATGAATACTTCAAGAGCTTCATATTCAATAAAATTAAAAATAAACACGAATAATTTAAAATTAACACTTGAAGATGGTGAAGAAGAATTATATGAAAAATTACAGAGTAAGTATACATTCTACCGATTCTGCCAATCTCATAACCTAACTATGGAAAAAATTTGTTATAAAGACTGCTTTTCTTTTATAAAGCACATGCAACATACGTAAAACATATTTATGTGTCTGTTTAAACACATCAGACATCAAAATAATACACTGTGTTCAAGTGTGTCAATTCGTGTCAGTTTTTGCTTCGTAAAAGGAAAGCAGCTAAAAATAGTTTTTTATATTGTTATATCGTATGATAATTAATACATTATTGAACGATGTCTCTATTAACTTATTTCAGATGATGATTCATATACTATCCAGTACGTGAAACTGTTAATCCAAAATGGATTGTATATAATAACCGATGGCGGCAACTTGTTTATTTTATGCCGAGAATAACTTAATAGAATGACTATAAAATGTCCACACTTTTTGTATATACCTTGTCACGACTTTTTGCACTCCCGGACCGCTCCGGGACGTGTGCCGGATCAAAAGGACTTAGGAGAGCGGGATGGTAGGCCTCTCCAGTGATTTCCTCGCACCTCCGATACTCCACGAAATGTTCCGAATGTTGGGCGCCAGACGCGTACATTCGCGTCCACGAAATCGCGAAAACCTAAACGAGACGCAAAACGAAGTGTGGAGGTGCGTGGAATCGGCTAGCTTGACCTAATTACGTGCGGGGTTAATGAAGGGCAGCGCGAAATTCGGCGGGGTGACACGTTAATTTTATACTCAGTCAGATAACAAAGAAAATAACATTTATTGAGTACTGGTTGTCGAGAAAATAATAACGTTTATCCATTCGGCTTCGATCAAACACAAGATAAATTCGATAAATAAATCAAGAATAGCCGGTGGCGGGGTGCCTGGATTCATCTAGCAGAAATAATATTAATGCGGACGCGAGACACCCACGGAATATTAATTGAGTCTCTAATAAACACGCTGAAGGCGCTATTCTCAAACAATTAATAATTCGAGTCGAAAGTGATAATACGCAAGAATACTACTCTTAATATCGCTAATAACCACGAAACGCCAGGAAGACCTACGCAAGTAACATCTAAACGCACGAAACGAGTGAACGCCGGTAATTTCCTAACGCGAGTACAAGTCTAACATAATTAATCAATCGGCGGGAACGACATTCGACCGCGATTAACAATGCCATCGACCTCCCAACGCAAAATTCGAGGTTGTCGCAAGCAGGGACGCCATAGGACGCAACGCAAGTAATACCGGACGCAAAGTTTCTCAACGCGAGAGCAAACTTTACGCGATCAACCCGAAATAACGAGATCCGAACACAAATCGATACGCTAACACCGACGCTCGAACACCAGAATTTCCCGACGCGAAGAAACGGTAACGCAATTTACGAAGTACCGGCCCGTATGCGGCCGTACACCAAGGTCGCGAGGACAACGCAATATACTCGCGATATCGAACTCATTAACGCCTATCGCGATCTCCAGGGATTCGCCATAACGCTTGTACCACGGTTCCGCGGCCACGATACCATCCCGAGGCCCTTCGCTCTCGTTATCGATCGCGAAATGACACTCGATCTTAGCATGCGTTATCCCGAGCGAGAGCGTGCACCGGAGGGCCGTGTCGTGGCTTTACATATCGTGATTTACGGGCAACCTCACCGGTGATACACCTTCTCCTGGGCTCCTCGCCGTCATCTTCCACCAACGATCCTCGATCCGCCAGACAAATATCGAAATACCCGACTCGGGGTGGCTATCGCGTATCTTACAAAACGTATCTCGCCGACGGACGACCAGAGAGTGAAACGCTAGACCCGCTCGATTGCGGAATCGATACGGTACCCCTTCCTGAGGGGCGCGCGAGCCAATCGGGCGCGAGCTTGCAAGCCCGCGGTGTCCCGGCGCAGTGCTGTCGATACGAGATCCTTCGGGGGCGGGCAACGGTCCCTCGGCGGCGTGCGACTTCTCAAAATTTTGTCCTTAGCGGCGGACGGAACTTCTCTCGTGCCAGTGTGCCTCCGGTTTGACCCCGGGGCGGTGTTTTGTGGAGATCATTTGCTGAAGCCGGGTGTTCACCCAAGCTTGTGGCCCCGCTATCGGCGGCCTCGTCCGTCGCTGCCGCACGTGCCGCCCGCCTGCCGCGTTGCTCTCGCCAGCCCGCGATCTCTGCTGCTTCCGCGTTTGCTACCCCTCCTTGGTTATCGATCGTCCTTGATTTCCTTCGCCAAGTACTCCCTCGAAGGTTTGCCGTGGTGTGGGTGAGGTGCCGCGCGTATTACATTGCATAAAAAAAAACAAAAGAAAGTAATCAAAAAGCGGAAACGCGATTAAATACGACCCCTGGAGATCTCGTCGTTGCCTCCCTGGTCCGTCCCTGGGCGCGAAATTCCGCGCCTTGTGACGGCGGCGGGGCGCCGCGACGATGTGGCGAACCGCAACGTCACAACCTTTACAATTAATGATATGCATTTTTTGATTTAGAGAAATATTAATATACAACGTGAACATTAATGAGAGTCAGAATCGTCGAGATAAACAGTGCACTGACAAAGAAAATGAGTTTGACTCCAGTTCAGCACTATCCGAAGACAGTAATAGTCAGAAGTCAATAGATAAATATATTTCAATATATATATATATATATATATATATATATATATATATATATATATGCAGTATACATGGTGGTGTGTACTACAGTCATCACTTTCCTGGGTTAATACGAGAAAGAAATGGAAATCAAAAATGTATTCATCCGGTTACACTCAACACAATTTTACAGATTTGCTTTTTCCGATTTTTTGCAACACTTGTTCCCATACGTCAATACAAACATAGGCTTTTTTATACTTTACATCATCTTATTCCTTTGACATTCATGTTTTGTATTTCTCAAATAATATGTGCAAATATTTTCAGATTCATAGACTGATTCGGCAACTGTATTTATCCTAGATAAATATAAAATATACCTTTCTCAAATAGGCCCAATGAAAAAATTTAAATCGAAGAAGACAATGTGGGCAGAGATTTCAAAAGAATTGCATGAAAATTTGAATATCTCGAAAACACCACTACAAGTAGAAAATCGTTATAAAACGGTTCTGAAACAAAAAAAAGCGGTGGAAAATAACCGTAAATCAGGCAGTTCACGAGAAGAAGTGCCATTTGAAGAAGAGTTAAGAGAAATTAGTCAAGCTGATGATAGCATCGAGCCAGAAGTACTTCGAAGTGCAAAGTCTGTGAAATACCCAAAAAGGCCTCTACTCACAATCATCTCAGACAAGGACTCAAATATTATTAACGTCGATGAAAATGCCAAAGATTCTTCTCCAAAAAGAAAGCATAAATTGAGCAATGAAGAAAGAAAATTAGAATTATTTAAAGAAAAGGAGGAGGCAAAGGAAAGGAGACACCAAGAGAAACTACAACTTTTGAGGGAATTGTTCAGCAAGAAAGAAAGCGATTAGCATATAGAATAACATTTAAAAGTTAAAGGCTTCTGTGGTTTTCTTATTTACTTTTTCAGGTTTCCAGGTCATCATCGTGCATAGAGCTTAATCGTCGACATTTCGCAAACTCTCTGATAATAGTATAACAAAAACTATATAGTTTTTCAGTATTAGAGAGCCAATCCTGATAAAGCAAACAATGCGCAATGTTTGCAAGACGG